TGCAGGGCCCTCTCCCCCCCCCCCGCACCACCCCCACCCAAGAGGTGGCCACAGGGAACCGGCAGGGTTCGCTGGAAGTTCAGAGAGCTGAAGCCAGACGGCAGTAGAGAGCTGCGATGGGATGGGGCTGGCCAGGGAGGGGAGTGGCTGCGGGCTGGCTGGAGGGCTGCCACCAGCTCCGCAGGGCTCCAGGCACCATCCCTAGGGCTTGCCCTTGAGCGTTTGGCACCTCTGACTGTCTCCTTAGTCCAGCGGTGCTCTTAGAAACAAGACAGCAGGCCCAGGATGGAGTCACTTAAGCCAAGCCCCACGTCGGGCACCAAACTGGGACCCAGTTACAGTTGTGGCTCTCCCAGAACTGGAATCTTAAACCGGTGGGTCAGGAGCCGCTGATCGGCACCGGTTGGAGCCCTGGTGAGAGACCCCAGCCATCCCCGAAGGAAAGTCACTTTGCCATAACCAACCCGCATGTTTTGCCGGTAGAACCTCCTGGTTCCGCTCCCTCCTGCCTATCAAAACCTTTCATTTTGTGCTGGATGCTGCCGGTTCGAATCCATTTTCAGGGGACACAATCCGTTCGTCGTGTCATCTCCATTTCTCTCCCTTCCTCTTCTCTTTGTTTGTTGGGCTGTTTTGCAGTGGACGCTGGGTGGGGATGATGACGTTACAGGGCCCCGTGTGGCCCCTGAAGGGTGACCCCCTGGGGGCGAGCCCTTATCCTGGGCCTCGTCTGTCTCCATCCTGCTCTGTCCACCTGTCCCCCGCGCTTTACCTTTTGCGAAGGAATTGCCTCCATTACTTGATTGAGTTTCCCACCACCACCCTGGGGGCTTGGTGTCGTTATTTCCGTCCCACGTATTTTTTTCCATCACATTTGCCCGGATTATTTGTTAGCGACAGAGCGTGAAGGTGGTGGTGGGAAGGAGGGGGCTCAGCCGGGGCCCGTGTGGCTCGGAGGAGAAAGCAGATCCGCTCGAAACTCCTAATGAGCTTCGCTGTCATTCCCTCCCCAGGTGCCTGATGGGCACCTCGGAGACGGGGGAAGCAGCATTCATTATCCGGTGACATTTCGCAGGCGGCTTTCTACCTCTGCCTCCCCTGAGAAGCAGTCACAGGATGCGTCTGATCTTCCTGTTACCCGCCTCCCGGGCGGCCACCCAGCTCCTTTCATCCCTGCGATTGAAGCCGCGGCCTCCGTCTCTCAGATCTGCCCTGGGCGACACCCAGGTCTCTGGGGAGACCCCCACGGCTTTCTTCCTCCCTTCAAAGAGCTGCTGGGGTGCTTCCCTGCACGGGGTGGGTGTGCTTTATTTTCTAGGGGCTGGGCAGCTGCTAGGGAGGCGGGGGGTGGCTGGGTGTCCCCTGTGCCCCCCCCCAGGACCTAATATGGAGGGGACAGGGGTAGAGGGTGGGGCCTTGGTCCTCAGCAGCTGGGGTGCAGGTGGCCGGAGCAGCACTTCCCGGGAGCAGGTGGCTGCTGAGGGTGGGCGGCTGGTCAGTGCGTGGGGTCAAGGCGGGGTCTGGGCTCCAGGGGAGCCGTCTACGCCGCCCCCGGAGGCAGGGCTTCCAGATGCTGTGGAGAAGGGCTTAGGGGTTCCCCTGGAAGGCCTGTGAGGGGGTCTGAGACACCCCCTCCTGAGAGACCTTCCAAATGGGGGCTCAGAGAGGCCAGGGGTCCTGCTCTCCTGCCCCCTCCAAGCCTCCACCAGGCAGAGCAGCCCCCAGAGGGGAGGGAGCTGGGGGCCTGCAGGGCTCTGGGCCCAGCCTCCCTGTGCCCCTCCACTGTTGCACCCAGCCCCCCCCCCACAACCCCTGCAGCGCCTTCCAGGGTCCCTGCACTCATACCCCCACTAAGGAGTGGCCGTCCGCGGCCTATGGCCTGGAGTTTGGGGGAGAGTTGGGGTGGGAGAATGAAACCTACCAGCCCGCAGAGTGGCTAAGTTTGGTCTCTTTAGGGTCACTGGAGGGAGGGCTTGAAGGGACAGTTCTTCAAGGCACCACCTAGTTCCTGGTCCCTGCTGTGTGCTGGACAGGCCCTGGGGACACAGCGATGACCGGACAGAAAATCCCTACTTCTGGACCAAACATGTTTGCCAGGAATTACAGATACTAATTAGGTAGGAAGGTGATTGTGTGTGTGTGTGTGTGTGTGCGTGTGTGTGTGTGTGCGTGTATATGTATATGTACGTATTTATTTATTATTCCTTGGTTCGATGGAGACATGCTGTGGCCTGGGACTGCCATGCCCCCTGCCCCTGGGAGAATCCCCGCCTCAAGGGCACGAAGCCGGGTTAATAATCAGATTAAGGGGAATAAAAACACTATCTGGAAACAAATGAAAATGAACACACAACAACCCAAAATCTATGGGACAAAGCGAATCTCTCGGTTCCGCCCGAGTTGGGTTTCTGCCACCGGAAGTGCCTGCCGCATACCTTCCCGCACCAGCTGTGCCTCCTCAGAGGGCCTCTGAGCAAGTCGTGGGTGGGAGGGGACTGTGCCCAGAGCAGAGCGAGGGCTGGGCTGTGCCAGCAGGAGGCGAACTGCTGACCGAGATGAGATGGCCGCTGGTCTTGGAACCACAGGTGAGTCGCAGGACCTGCAGGGCCCTCCCAGGAGAGAGGGAAATCCCGTTTCTCGTGTGGTTGGTGGAGAAGAAACAGCCTAGAAAACAGCAGCAGCAGAACATGTTTATTGAAACAGCTCGCAGCCAAAGGTGGCCTGCTGGCCGCGAAGGGACGTTTTCTCTTTGGGAAAACAGAGCGGAAGAGGCAGGGGAAGGGAGAGAGAGACACAGAGACGCAGAGACAGAGGGACCCGCAGCCAGGAAGCCAGGCGCAGCTCACTCCAGGGACTGCTCTGCGGAGCAGCCGCCGTTGGTCTTGCTGAGCGAGTCTGCACTGCCCATCCTCGAGTCCACGCTGGGGGCGATCTTGTTGATCTCCTTGGGCATGTTCTTCTGCCTCTCCTCCTTCTGCGTCTCCCGGTGGTAGAAGTAGTTGAAGTTGGAGACGATGACGGGCACCGGGAGCGCGATGGTCAGATGGTCAG